GGATATATCATCATACTACAACCAATGACAAATGAAACTTGTTCAAAACTGTCCATATATCCTTCTTAGAACATTTGTTTCAGTTCGGTTTTAATAACTATTTTTTTCATTTTTCGAAATCGGATGATTTTAGTCGATAAAAGAGAGAAAAATCTCGATTTCTCAATTTTATTTGATGCTACAGATCATCAAAGTTTAGTTCTAGCTTTACTGTCTTTGGATATGCGCGTTCGGTACACTTAATTGTCACTGATATGAAAAAGTTGCTTCTAACAAAGATCGATTTAGTTCTTCCTCTCAGTAAATAGAAGCTCATCCGATCTGAACGAATGCAAAATAACAATCTATATCATCGAATTGATTAGATCATCACTTTCACCTGTTTTGTTGTAACTTCTGTGACATATCTAATATCGATTATTTAACATGTTTTCTATTAACGAACAAACGAATTTCTTTTGTGAGCCGAAAAAATGTCTATACATGAACATTAATAATAGACAACTGTTCACAAACTGACAAATAGGAAATAGGCATGTTTTAATACCATTCTGTTCAGATTATTTTGCTCTTATGAGATTATACATAGTCTAGAAATGAAACGATGATCAATTGAGAGAAAGGTTTTCGAACTCGAAAAAAAAATGCGAGTATGAGATTCATTATTGAAACACTCATAAGATCGGAATTACCTATTTCATAAAAACGAATAGCCTTCATTTAGTAGTAAAGGGTTTACTTTATATTTCTTTCCGTCGTCTGTCAGACGACAGTATATAGAGGTTTTTTCTCAACTCTTCTCAAGCTCGATACTTTCTCAAACCAAACTATTGGAATAAGCGCAGTTTAGCATATCTATATTAAAATTTACAAAATAGTGATGACAGATGAATGTATGAATGAGAAAAGTAGTGTAATGAACGCATCATTCAGGTTATATGAAAACAAGGAACTGAAAAAAGTATACAAGTCAATATTTACTTCATTCACATAATTATCATAGCTCGTATCAAAGTTCTCACGAGGGAAGGTCTCCAAATTACGGACTCCATATTATGATTACGAGGTAGGTCTCTATGAGACTAAGAAAAGTCTGAAAGGATTCGTGCCTATGGCATATCGACGAAGAGTTATGACCGTTTTACTGAATTTTGGGCCTGTGGTAACGGATTTCCGAAAAGACCGAATTAAAGAATTTCGACCTGAAATTTTGTCCATAGATAGGTCTAATGGTCATTAGAATTGTATGAAAGTTTCAGCCCAAACGAACGTTCCTTTCTCGAGATATTGAATTTGGTTTTGGTGATCTGTCTGTGAAAAGTGACTATTTTTTGACAATTCAATATCTCGAGAAAGGAACGTTCGTTTTGGCTGAAACTTTCAGGCAATTACAATGACCATTAGACCTATCTATGGACAAAATTTCAAATCGAAATTCTTTAATTCGGTCTTTTCGGAAATCCCTTGCCACAGGCACGAATCCTGTTAGGCTTTTCTTGGTCCTACCTCGTAGTCATAATATGGAGTCGAACAGCGTCCTTAACTTGGGGACCTTCCCTCATCAGACAGTTTGAAAATTTGACGGAATCTTATACACTTCTGTGCTTGTGAAGGATTTCCAGGTTGAAAAATCCGAAATCGATTTGATAGTCATATAAAAATCCAAGTGACGTAGTTATTAAAGGATTCGAGTATAGAATTAGTCGACCTAAAATAATGAATATAGGATGGAAGGCTTTATACATAGATTCTGATTTTCACTAACATATTGTACTAGTCGATGACTTCAGTCTAAATCCTATTTGAATTTCAAATGCTTCACAATAAACGAAATCAAATCTAAATAAAAATCAATGAATCAATAGTTTAACCTTTAGCACCGGATTGAATTAAAAATTGTAAATTATTTTCTGGAAATTGTTTAAATAAATTTGACATACATTGCTTAACAATTTGATTTTGATATTGATCAATAGATATTTTATAATTAATATCCATTTCTTTTGATATACGTTCATCAAATGATTTTGAACAAAATCCTTTAGCAAATTGATTAATAAGTATTTGTTCATTAGAATTTTCTGGAAGAGAAAATGTTTTTTGTAAAGCTTTTTGACATGCTTGAGCACGACATTGATTTATTAATCGACGTCGATGTGATACACCAAGTGAAAGTAAAAGAACATCTAAAACAAAAAATATTTATTTCGAGATCAAAAACAAAAATTTTTATTACCGTTCA